TTCTCGGAAACATATGTTTGATGAAGTTGTATAATGCTGTAAAAAAAAACGATATTGAAATTTTTACTGAAATACACGTTTAGACAAACACCTACCACTAGAAAAGTTAGTTTTTTCCAAATGCTTTTCTGTCCGCTTTCTTTTTTAATTAAATTTTGTTTTACGTTGACAGACAATACAACGTTCAGCCGTAAGGATCTTCAGTGATTGCGTACCAGCCAAGGGTGAATGGGGTAACTTGCCATCTCCCTGATAGTGGTTATTAGGAGAAAATTCTGGAAAAAATCGTTAGAGGTCGATAACAGGATTTAGAAAGGAATACGATAGGTGAGGCAGATAAATGTAAGAAGCGTTTTATCCTTATCTAAGGTCGGAGAGATATTGAAAGAAAATGGAGTCTGTTTCTTTGGCGGAAGATCCGTTTGCTTATGAACCAACTCTAGTGCTAGAACCAGAATTTCCCTCAATATCAGTATTCTCCTATCGTTTTGGCTCTATTCGAATCAGAACGGATTTGAAATGAATTTTAAGTTAGATAGTGCACTGTACATACAGCCTCTGGGACATTTTTCCAATTTTTCTCAAAAAATACACGGTTTTTCTATAGAAATGTTAGAATGTGACGAGAACTTACGAAAATGGCTAATATTAAGATTTCATTTGTATTCCTTTACTAATACGTTACACAGGCCAGTGAAAATACATCCCATTTTTCTGACATTAGTAACACGTAATATATTGCAAATTTTGCTCTACTAACACTTTAGGCACCACTTGAAAAAGTACAAAGCAATTGAAACTGAGCGCCTGCGATCTTCGCAATTATTTCGATAGCTAGAAACAGTTGTCATTTCTTACTTCTACGAATGAAACGAATAAACCTAAAAAAATACCGGTTTTGCAGAAGATTATGCAGACAAGAGAGTGTAATAATTTCATACAAACTCGTCTAGATTCCATCGATAAAAGCTTCCAATTTTTGAACGCAGTGATTACATATTTTTAAAGTAAAATAGGTGTACAAATTAAACTCCAGAGCCGAAGGGCATCCAATATAATATCAGTTGTGCCATGGTCTGCGAGCTGTGAGGGACGTATTTTTTAAGCGCTCCGAGGATCACCGCAGTTGGCTTTTAGCGAACGGCGCAGCGGGGAGTTCTCAGTTCTGTTCAGCAGTAGGACCGATTGTGAAGAGCGCCGCACACAAAGCCAGAGTCTATACGCTTGGTATAAGTTAAGTTAAACGTTTATATTTTTAATATAAAGCTAATATTTTTTTCTTTTTTCCCCCGTAAAATAGGGTTCGTACAAACCTGGAAAATCTGGAAATATCAGGGGAAAAATATCTGAAAAAGTCAGGGAATTTATGTAAATACCTGTAAATATTTTTCGTTCAATAAAAAAGTAATGATTGTAAAATTGTTTTATATTTTATAAGATATGTATTATATATATAAAAACAATTTTTAATTATTTTTCAATACTATTTCAATATAAACATTTCATATTAAATTTGTGAATACAAATGGACGCCATCTATTGTATTTGGATGTTATGAAAGAGTACACAAATGTGACATCTCTTTCTAAACCTATGAAATGACAAAGAATGCTGTTTCCAAATAGTAGAACGGAAATATTATTTTAAGATTATTAAACAGTAAAACCTCCTAAATGGCAATTTTCTTTGTAACATTTGGAGACGTTTTAAAAAACTGGCTTTTAAGCGCTACTGTAAATTCGACATTTGAAACTCTTTGTCACAGAAATTTTTTTAAGGTTTCGAAAACCTTCATTTGAAGTCGTTTTAAATACTTTAACTTTCAAATACAGAAGGGTTTACAAATGAGCACTGTAAAGTTAGCAATATCCGTCGAAATGTTTGAAGAAAAAATGCGGCATTTTGAAATACCCACCAATTCAGTTGAGATTGGAGAAACTTCATGGCATTATTTAAGGCACATGTTCTCATAAATGTAATAACGTGAACAAATTGCCGCTAATATAAATAATGACAAAAGTAAAAAAAATTACATTTTTGTAATTTTTTGCAAAAACAAAAGAGAGCAATATGACGTTTATGTCATCTTATAGAGTACATTCAGCACTACCCCTATCAAACATTTAAAGAAAAAATGTGGTCTCAATTGAAGGCAAAATCTCTATTTTTAATTTTGTAATGGTAGGATGACTCCGAAAAACGTTCTGTGTTAACTGTGAAATTCAGACCTATGTCACGTTTATAAATGTATGTTACTCAATTATTACAAGAAATTTAAAGAAAAATTTGGAGCCGCTTTTGAGAAAATTTTGAAAATGTCCGGAGGGCTTTATGTAAAGAACCCCCAAATTTTGAACAGTTTTCAGAAATCTCAAAGTTGGGACTCGAGCGAGATAGACAGTGTTTTCTTCAAATTGAAAAAAAATCCTACGCATGGGTTAGACGCTAGTAGTGTTCACAGACGGATAGAGTGTCGTTTTGAAGAAAAAAAAAAAACAACACTTTTTCGGTATGAGGGAACCCCAAAACGTGTATTTCCGTTGAAATCTGGCAATCGATTTTCCGCATCATTACATAACTTTCCCAATACTACATATATTACACCGCATACGTACGCGGGGAAAAATAAATTGGTTTCAACTGAAATTATAATTTTGTAATAGCTTTTTCTCTCCTTCGAAAACTAGGAAAAAACTTTACAAAAGTAACAATAAATATTATATAAGAATTTTTTTATTAAAAACGCGTAAAAATGTGAAATAAATTGCGTTCAGTGGCGTAGCGCCAATTACAACGTTGAAGTTCAGTTTTTTGGCAAATAAAATTTGTTCTCCATAGTTCTTTCATTATGGTCATGTACTTTTTCTGGAAAATTGTAATAGTTTTCGCGCAATATAGCGTACAATTTTAAAAATTTACAAAAAAAAGATTTTCTAAAAAACGGCTGTAATTTTTTCTTTAAACTTTTGGTAGGGATAGCGCTAAATGTATCCTATAATATGACACACACGCCATATTGATTTTTTCAAAAAAAAAATTTTTTTTTACTTGTTTCTCACTTTGAAAGATTAATACTAGCGGTAATTTGTTCACATTATGTATGAGTGCATGTACTTTAAATAATGTTAGATGAAGTTTCTCGAAAACTGAATAATTTTCTGTGAAAACTAGCTCAAAATTCCGCATTTTCAGAAATGCTCATACGCGATTTTCTCTAAAACGGCTACATATTATTTCTTCAAACTTTTCGAACGAATAATGCATATTGCGCTTTTCAATGTGACGTTAAGTTCAGTTAGGAATCTTTGTTTTTTCAAAAATTACCAAATGTAATTTTTTAAAAGATCTCTCTCACCATTAATATGCACATTTCCAACGATTTGTAAACACTATTGTATTTGTGAGTTAATGTGTCTCGAATGACTTCTAATGAAGTTTGTTCTTCTTTTGAGCGACCTCTAGGTCCCACAACCAGTCTCATTTCATAAATTGATCTCTACTGATCGGCCGCCTGTAGCGGTTTTGAATTGTAATCGAATAAGAGAAGTGGCAGTGGATATGTCTTGAGGGATAATCAAAAGGGTTAGCTATTTTAAGAAGTACATTTATTTACAAAATAATACATTGTATTTGATGTTACGGAAACCTGTTGAATTCCTTTTTTTAAGAGACGTTCTCAGTCTGTTGGTTACGAATTTACACTGAACTGTTTTGCAAGAGTCTCTGATAATACTCGATTTCATTGATGAATAATGAAAAATTGATATAGATTTGTTTATTGTGTATGTATGTATGTATTATATATATATATATATATATATATATATATATATGAGATAGACTTGATAGTTGCGTTACAGTTCACTTCGCAAGTAAAACTTTGAAAGTGTAATATACATTGATTGCTTTTGACACAACTCATCTTCCATAGCTGGCCACAATTGCGGTTCAGGATACATATCTTGGAAACAGAAGAGCAGTCTTCTTCGAGGCAATGAATGCGATTGAATGCGGCGGCGATGGTGACTCGGCGATGCGGATTGATGCGGCGGACATCCGGCTGGTATACATACGTCGGCGGGTTCAAATGCAATCGACGCGGCGAAAAAATTCTTCGAACGCATTCATTCGGAGGGGAAGTAAAGCCGGCTGTCCCATGTTAGTAGATTTACTTGCATGTAAAAGATCCTCAAGGCTAAATGACGTCTCTGACCTAAATTCAAATCGCCTGTTTCTCGCCCAAGAAATACCTCCTTCCTCTGATAATTGGTGAAAGGAGCGTAGCGAAATTTGCGTGGTCAGACGGAAGAGCGGGCGTCTCGCCACGTAAAATAAGGCTTCAATTCAATCGAACGCCCCAAGTAGTGCAAACTCTTGCGAGGAGCGTCGCGGCAATCCGTACCTACGCACGTCTGATAAAGGAGAGGGCGGAATTTTTAGATTGGGCGGACTCTTGAAGAAATTGTGCGAATACGACTGGCCCTGTGCAGAATGTAGCCAATGAAGTTATCTGCGCGTGGTCATGTGGTCATTTAATTTCGCAGATATAAATATTTTCCAGATTGTGACATTTTGTTTACTCAGTTAATTGTGCATTCGCGTCAGTTGAATTTAGAAAGACGTCAAATTAGTGTAAGACATTTCTTAATTCTCGTGCGAAGGTGTATTGAGGAATGGAGACCGAAATCGGGAATCCGTCCTCTATTCAGAGGCGTGGAAGAGGAAGTTGCAACGCACTTATCTGAAGGGATCCGTGAAGTAAGTGTGTGTGTATAAGGGAAGAGGAAGGAAAGAGCACATGAGCTTCGTGACACGTGTGTTAGGGTCTCGCTCCGACATTCATCGGGTGTTGATCTGAGAAACTGAGTAAAACTACCGATCAGAGCCGCTAGATATCTCCTCCAGACAGCGGCTAAATCCGACCTAGCTACATAGCCAGCGTCCAGACTCGAAGACTTCCGGCTAAACTGCGCCGGTCGCGTGGGGCGCATCGCGGTGCGCTAGGGCGGCGGCGAGGCGTGCTGGGGGCCGTGGAACTGCAGCAGCACGATGACGTAGGTGGCGGCGGTGGCGGCGATGGGCGCGAGCGCGCGCGGCTCCACGTCCACGAGGCCCGCGGCCGAGAAGCGCGGGCGGCGGCGGCGCGCCAGACGCAGCAGCTGCCGCAGCGCCTGCCAGCACCACAGCAGCGGAAACAGTCAGCGATGCGCCCAATCATTCATGGTAACAAACATCGACGTTACCAATCATAGATGTTACGCATCATTGATGATATCTACAATTGATGTTACACATCGTTGATGTCAGCAATCATCGACGTTACCACCATTAATGTTAACAGTCATCGATGTTACCCATCATTAATGGTAACAAACATTGACGTTACCAATCATCGATGTTACCTTTAATTGAAGCTTCACATTTGCGATGCTACCAATCATCAATGTTCACAATCACAATCAATGTTTACAATCATTGATGTTACCAATCATCGACGTTACGCACCATTAATGTTAACAGTCATCGATGTTACATATCATTAATAATACCTATAATGAAGTTAGCAATCATCGATATTATCCATCATTGATGTTATTCACAATTGATATTAACTATCATCAATGTTACCTATCATTGATGTTACCACTCTATACTAATATGTATAACGACACAGGGGCTTTTCGTTACAATGCGATAATCTCTTAATGTACTGGGAAAATACCGATGAAACGTGTATGCTATAGGCTATGATTGCTTTGAAGGTCATGAGTGCTATAAGCTATGATTTACAACCATAATCTTAAATATATTCACAGAATAATTACTTTCGTGGTTTTTCTTCGCCTAGCATTACCTCACAGATTCAAGAGTGCATCAATATGCAATAGTTTAGCTGCCCGCCATCAGCGGATGACGACTAAGATCTACGACTTAGTTCATCAATGCACAGAAAGGCGTATCTACCAGAAAACTACGTTTCTGAGCCCCTCTGCGCCCGCTTTTCTGTTGAACATTTTTACTAACACGACATTTACTTGTTAAGAAATAAATCAAAGTTTCCACATGTGAAACGCTCCATTCGGACGCTTCACAATGAGTACTAAAAAGATGCAAGAAGATAACTAAAAACTGACGTATTTACTACTCGGGCAGCTTTTCTTGAACGATGGATTGACGATTTCGGGTGGAGTGGGGGTATTAGTTACAAAGTCCGGCCACTAGAGTTATTTTAAGTAATAGCCAACGTCTATGAAATGAAAGTCCAAAAACTGCATTTGTGCTTCACTTTTGCGGGAGTTTTAGGTGACTCCCTTGAAGGACCTGAACCCTAACTCAGCTATTTCTTTCGATATTGACAATAAATCTGAACAGGGTCTGCACTATGAAAGCAACTGCTTGACTAGCTTCTGTTTCGCGCCAACTAAGTTTTAATGCCTTGGAAAGGTTGTCATCAGTGCCCGCTGCGAGCTTTTGCCTTCAACTGTTTATTGCACAAGGGATGAAGGTCATCGTTCAAGAAAAGTTGCGCGAGTTATAATAAAAAGAGAAACAGTAGAAGGTGCAAGGGTGTTTATTTCCAAAAACTCCAAGGAACTATGCTGGTAGAGGACCTGGGAAGTGTAAATAAATAAAGAAAGAACAGTTTAGGAAGACTAGACAGTCGCTCGAACTTTGGATTATTATATAATAATCAAAATATTTTATTACATGAATGAATGTTTGTCTGTTTGGAAAAGACAAAGCGAAGGATTTAAGAAATGGGCGATTACATAAACGTTTAGACAATAAAATATTAGAAATTTGTAAAAGGGGAAAGGTAATTAAATTTATTATTTGAAGTTTAATTAGAAAGTATTACAATGAAAAATTGTGGAAACCGAAAGACATCTAAAATTGGAGTATAAAAATGAACAGCGAGTGTGACAGAAGAGAAGAGCTGTCCTTTGTTTTAAAACTGCGCGATGAGGAGGAAGGTGTACAACAATGCACACAGACAGACGGGTTGGCGACTGGTAGTGCTGACATCGTGGCAGTAGTGGAATATGGAGTTTATTTATGTAAACGTTGGTTGGAAGGTGGTAGAGTGGTGTTCCATTGTAATAATATAGTTGTGAATATAGACCGTGAGTGTTTCGATTTGAAGTTTGAAAAAAAGAAAAAGGATAGTACCCGCAACGAGAAGGTGCAAATAATCTCAGCAGCGGAGACGGCGCCATTTTACGGGGTTCAGCAACCATGGAGGTGACGCAATTTTTCAACAATTATATAACAAGGCTAATAATTTAACCAAGTAATTATTAGTGATGGCCATTAGAGTTAATTTGTTTTAATTATCAAAACGAGTGCATCGCGTGAATGAATGCAGTTTAAATGTGTATGAATGACTGAGTATTATTGAATTTATTTTCTTCAAGATACGTTGTTGTATTTAAAGAGTACAATTTTATTTGTCATATTATGTTTTGGTACTACAGAAAGCTGGTGTATATACGGCGGAGTGCAGAATTCACCATGTAGCATTTTGAAATCAGGTGTTTGTCAATAAATAATTGCTGCTCATATTGATGGCATTGGTAAAATGTGTGTGAATATATTAGCAAGTAATATAAACCCAATGATAGGAGAAACAACATAGAGAGCGAGGTTCCCAAATCAATATGATGACAATTCTTTTTCCTGTACAGGGGCGACTTCGCGAATTCACACAAAATTTATACACTTGTATTGTAGGAGCTTAATTTGGCGTAACGTAATAAATTGTTATTAGTTTACAGATTTTGGCTGGTTCAAGTGTGGGTAAAACAGGAATGGCGTTAATTATTAGAAATTTTAAATCACGACTTTATTATCCATTACGCATGGAAAATAAAATGATAACTGTAAAGATGCAGTAAATAAATGAATAAAAATATGCACATAAATAAAACTAATTTTATGTTTAATCATATACGAAGTATCGGATACGTGGAAAATGTATTTCCCAAAGGCCATTATCAATTCTTCAAAGTTCAGCTAAAAAAGGGGAAAATCAGGAATTGTTCATATTTAGAGAAATAAAATGTTTTATTAAGTAGGGCTACGGGGCTCCTTTGAAAAGTGTCAGGGGAGGAAATGGCTTTCTGGGCCCTTGTGTTCTTCACGGCTATACATCGACAAGAAACCATCGATGTTTTTAAATTCGTGCGAAACAAAATTTAATTTGACTGACAGATCGCTGATTCCGGGCGCGTTCACTATTAAGGTCATTCATCCCGTAAGTGCAGTACACTTTTATCGCGAGGGGGTGGCGACGGCGGCGATCTCCCCTCACTGGATGATGATATCCAGCGCTCGCCTACGCGATCGGTGTTTTCCTCAACCAGGTATCTCCCACCAGCCGAGCACCGCCCCTGCCGGGACAAGCTCTAAGCTCCCGACTGGTTTCACGACATGCGGAAGATCCGCCTCCGTCGAAACTCTCACCCGAGGACTTCCGGTCAGAGGTACTGCAGTGACATCAATTGATGCCTTGAGTCACCTAAACAGGTATATTTAATTTTCTAGTGGTCGTGGATATTAATTTGGTCATAGGCTTGTTCTTTCGAAGAAAAAAGAGGAATATAGGTCCAAATTCATATCTGCCTCCCCCCATTTTCCATTACCTTTTTCACTTAAACGAGACGTGTTTTATTACTAAATAAATAAAATATATAAAGACAATTAAATAATACGTTTAATGATACTTTCAATAAATTAGATTGATTATAATACATAGCATCATTTACAGAGTTGCCTGGTGGATTCGAGAACCTCTCCGTAAATTATTCTAAAACAATTCCACAAATTGTCATAATAACAAGGCAAAAATCCGGGATTGAACATAATTACGGAAATAAAAAGTTTTATTGCGTAATGCCAAGGGCCTCTTCCAAAATTTTCAGAGGAGGGCACGGCCCTCCTAGACCTCTCCTGTCCGTTCCCCTATGTTGATATTTCAGATTTAACTGAAAATGAAGCTGAACAAGATTTATCCACTTTCTCGTTACAAGGACCTGGCCTTAGAAGTTTTTCTGTCGAAAAATGCCTTTTCCAGCGCACGATTACAATACTTTCTCTATTCTGCGTAAGCAGTCTTGACCTTGCATGTGCTACCACCCACACAATTCCCTTGTTCTACCAGGAGCCATACGTCGACGAGGTGGGCATCTTTAGTTTTTCGCTTTCATCAGCACCCCACCGCCGACGGGCACGCCTACGCCTACGGGCTGGTATTAGTCGCGCAACTTTTCTTGAACGATGACCTTGCTTCCCCCTCTCTGGCACAATAAACAGTTGAAGGAAAAACCTCGCAGCGAGCCCTGATGACAACATTCCAAGCACATCGTCACTGGCGCAAAATAGAAACTATTTTCTGGTGAAGACGAGAACTTGTTCGTGATTTTCTCCAAAGATCTAAAGAAATGACCGAATCAGGTAAAGATCTATCACAGGAGATACCTTGAACTCCTGAGAAAGTTAGAACGCAAATTATTGACAAAGTTACGAAAGCACGACTGATTCTCTAGAGATTGGCATTGCTTTATAAAATCTAGTGGCCAATTTCGTAACTAATACCTCCACTCTACCCGCATTTCTTCAATCCATCGTTCAAGAAAAGTTGCGCGAGTAGTAACCGGATCTCGCAGGAACGCACTTAGCCCTCACGGCAACCTTTCGATACAATTGGCTGGGCTGAGCCGCCCTGCCAGGCGTTTCAGGCTAGTACCGAAGTGCAAACAGTATATTCTAGCCCGTTGGTAGAAACATCTAAACACAACCGCCGCGCGATTTGGAAAGCTGGCCGTCGCCGCCGCCGCCGCAGACTCCTGTCCCCGCAACTCCATCAAAATCGGGGACAAAGCTCGAGATTGCTACCATAAGAAGCGCTAGTTTCGCCGGGTGCAGCTGCAGGTTAGGCTCGCCAACTTTCCCACATACAAATTGGCTAATTTGTGAGAGATACGAAAAGTGTCTTCTAAATGTACAATTATTCATAATTTCTACTTGTAAGAAACCTCTGAAGAAAGCGCGAACGTAGACGTTATCTTTTGTAACATTATGGTCCTGCTTGCAACTCACGAACTCACGCAGCAGTCACTCACGTTTAAAATATCGTTGGCAGCAGTTCCTGTTTTTAGTAAGCTGTAAAGAAGGTGATGCAGCAGAGCGCGCCACCGTAATGGTCTCCACCACGTTATATGGGAGTTTTAGGGCCCTGCTCCTGTCTACCTGCGAGCGCAGCCCGCGCGAGCGCACAGCGCCCCATCCGCGCAGCGCCGTCGCCTCCAAAGCGCGCGCCTCGGCGCCCGCAGCGCCGCACGCGGCCGCCACCGCTACCACCTTGGCCGCCGGCAGCGCCGCCCAGAGCGCGTTGAGCGCCGCATGCAGCCCGCGTTGCCCGCCAGGCAGCGCCCGCTCCAGCAGCACTAGCGACAGCACCAGGTACAGCGCCGCCACCACGTACACCAGCGACACCGCCAGGTCCAGCAACGTCGTCAGCCCGAAGAGCGCGTTCGCCAGCTCGCACAGCTCGGCCAGCAGCTCGTAGCAGTCGCACAGGCGGCGCACGGCCGGCAGCGCCTCCGCCCGCTCCAGCTGCACGGAGCACCATCGCGTCTCGCAATCGACGTTCCCTACTCCCTTTGCAGAGGGAGAGGTGGCTCAGGGCATCAGCTGATGGCACTGCAGGGCCTCTGACCCGGAGGTCCTATGTTTGAGTCTCGAAAGTGGCAGGAATTTTTAAAACTAGGTCGTCCGCTAGCTCGAATTCAGTCGCTGGAGGAAACTTCTAATGGACGGCTGCCCTGATCGGTAGTTTTCCTTCGTTTCTCCGATCAATACCAGGCGAATACCGGAGCACTACTCTAACAAACGGGCCACGGATCACGCGTGATCTTTCCTTCCTCTTCTTTGTTCTATCCTCACCCCTTACACACACTTACACTTACGTGCACTACACTTCCACACATGTCAGGAGACCTGACGGGAGCTTAGAGCTTGTCCCGGCTGCAGCGGTGCCCCCTGGTGAGAGACACCTTTTTTTAGGGGAACCCCGTTGGCCGCCGGCGCAAAAACCATGCACTACACTTACGGAACTAACGACCCTAGCAGTTGACGCCCCCGGGGTCACCAATCTACGAACCAAGGCATGTCTCCCCAAAAAGGCAGAGCCCGATTGCATCGCGTTCGGTTTTCCTCTTGATTGATAGATTAATTAATGATTCCTGAGGCATCAACTGTTAAGTAAACTGTGAGTGTAGTTCCCAACTGCTAACCCGTAAGTGTTGTGCACGTTTCCTTCGCGGAAGGTGGTGATCTTCCCGCGCTGAATGACGAGATTCTGCGCCGGCGTGTGGAGATTTTCCCCAACCAGGTATCTCCCACCATCATCACAACTGCCCCCCAGCAGGGACAACCTCTAAGCTCCCGAGAGGTCTCCCGACAAGAGTGTGATGATGTAGCGTCGCGTTGACTGCTCTGCGTGGGAGAAGGGCGCGGAAGACTCGGAGTCCTCAGAATTGTAGCTACTCGTAGAAGCCACGGAGGCGTTGGGGGCGGCTGATATTTCTAGAGTCAGACGGACGCCGGCTTGTCCTGTAACAAGTGTCACGTGAAAGCAAACCTCTCTCCCACGCTCAACGGTGGTCACGTGAGGTTAAGCCGGCGAGTACAGATTGGGCCGACTCGCTCACGCCGGTTTTGTTCTTGTAAACCTTGCGCTTTGCGCAAACTCCACGCCCAGGCTGGTGCGTATTGGCGCGTTGCATGGGTGACGAAGGTCACATAAGTGGCGAGCTAGGAGCGTGCACTCGAGGTGGGGCCTCTCGTGTAAATGTGGTGTATCCACAGGATGGCACGAGCGCGGCTGGCTATCGGGATATACCGGAACGTGTGTACGGGGTAGTTCAATACATTTTGTAAATAAAACTTGTATATACTTTTTTTATTGTCTGTGTGCTTACTTCCACGATGCCACAATAGCATGTGAGTGTTAGTAAAAGGTGAGGATAGGCCAAGGAAAATGAAGGAAAAAATCATGGATGGTGCGTGGCCCGTTTGTAAGGGTACTGCTCCGGCATTCGCCAGGTGTTGATCGGAGAAACCACTTGAAACTTTCGATCAGAGCAGCCGGCCGCTAGAATTCTCCTCCAGACAGCGCTTGAACTCGATCTGTCAATTCAGAGTCGAAAATCCTTCTACCGTTGGGATTCTTGGTGGAATTCCGGACACCCGTGGGAACCCAGGACCTCCCGGTCGGAGACACTGCAGTGCCATCAACTGACGCCCTGAGACACTTAAGCAGCTCATTCGGGTTTCAGCCCTTGCATGAGACAAAGATGATCCTTTTAACAATTTCGTTTTCTCTTACTCTTCTATTGTACTGGCCCAGTAGAAACCATAAGGAAAGCTTGTTATTTAAGAAATAAATTGTTTAGGGTATGAATAATTTATCGAATCTGTTTTCTACGTATACTGTAGGATGTTCCAAGAAGAGAGGTCTTCCTTCAAAATAAGCAGTATCCAAATAATGAGAAGTTAGATAACACACACCCGGGCTGTCGAACTGCACCTGCACGAGCTACTTGTCCGCCTGGAGAGCCCGACGCTCGCTCCTGATTTCCCTCCAACTCCGCTCCCGTGTCCCCTCCAATTCCGGAAAGGGGTGTACTCGCACAAACTGAAGTCGCGCGAGGCCTGGAATAGTGGCTACATCCGACAGAATGTTTGTCAGATTTATTCTATAAACAACCGAAATTTGAATTATGATTATATTTATTACCATTTTATGTTTGCATTATTTAAAATTCTACCTTGCATAAACATTTTTGCTAAGGGGCAGGAATATGTTTGAATCGTGAATTCGTTCCTTGTTTTCATTTTGGGTTATGCTTTATTAAATTATTCAGTTATTTGTTGTATACAGCTATAAAGTGAAATATGTTAACAAGACTCCATAAGTTGATAGTTCTGGGTCACAAGGTGGTAGATGTTTTAACAGACAGGAGTGTTTGTCTACTAAACCTCTTAATCTGAAAGTAGGAAAAAATGTACGAGTATGTATAGCCCTTTCAAGAAAAGAGATTACGAAATCACGATAATTTCTACTCAAAATGTTTAATTTTATAAATAATTTATAATTTTAAACCCGACTGAAGAACTTTTACTTTTTAATGCATCATTTCTTGGCTTTAATAGAGCAAATAGGAATTAATATGTCTACTAACTTCTCCAAAAGTCAGTCATAGGCCAGGTATCTTCAACTTAATATTGTATGTAAATTCAAATTAACTTCTCCCCGTAGCACGTCACACACAGTTTATAACTGCTTTGAAGTATATAAATAAATAAATAAAAATCCAGCCATGTATCGCCACAACGGAGCCTTAAGTACAGCCCTTGCTTTCAAATCTCGCGCCAGTTGCTCTAGACGCAGTGCATGCGAACTCCAGAAACGCATTAACTTCGCCTGCGACCTTGACAAGCCTGTTCCGGGATTATACCACGAACATCAGTTGGAGGTTTTCTCTCAAATGTTGCGTGAACATTTATTTGAATGGAAAATTAACCACATTGTTTTTTCGTTCCCCCTCCCAAAACACCTGTCAGGATACAGTTGGGCTCTACTTTTACAGGTAGCCAACACTGAAAGGGGATTAACTGGGATGCGGATATAGTGGTGGAAAATTTTAGTAAAACATCGATACTTCGATTCATCAACAAAATATTTTCGATGTCGCTGAAAACATCGACAAAATCATCGATGTTTTAAATATGATGAACTATTTCGAAGTAAAATGAAAATGCCGTGGTTCTAATGTAAAACATATCGCCAATATTAGTTTAAAACATTTTCTGCCTTAAATTTAAGAGTCATCATAATTTTCTAATCAATGTTCTAAGTAGTCAAGGTTCAAAATACTGTTTAACGATATTACCACGTTCAAAATAGTCAACAAAAAGGGAGGGGAACTGGAGAGAGCTTGCGAATAGCAAGCGGTTTCTTGCCGCCTGGGGATCGACAACGTGTTAGTTGTTAATGGCCGTTGATTACGCGCAATCTACAAATAAAATAGATTCTGGAATTTGTAATTATATCGTGAGATTTTTTAAAACATCGATGTTTGGACAAATATATCGATTTGAATAAAATATCGAAAGCAAAACATCGATGTTATAATGTCGACGTTTATGCTCGAAAATATGCTCGAAATAAAATGTTTTTTTCGGCCATCCTTATGCGGATGCGAGGGAAAACTTAATTGCCGTTCATTGAGAGCAATCCACAAATAAAATAGATATTTGAACTTTTGTTCTTATCATGAGATTTTTTAAAACATCGATGTTTGAACAAATACATCGATTTGAAGAAAATATCGATAGCCAAACATCGATGTTATAATATTTCGAAACTTCGATGTTATAATATCTCGATAACTCGAAATGGTCGATGTTTTTTTCCCATCCTCATGCGGATGTGATGGAAAACAACAGCCGTTAATTGAGAGCAATTCACAAATAAAATAGATACTATACTTTTTATTTATATCATGAAGATTTTTTAAAAGATCAATGGACAAATATATCGATTTGAAGAAAATATCGAAAGCAAAACATTGACGTTATAATATGGAGGTTTCTGCTCGAAAACATCGATGTTTTTTTCGCCATCCTTACCGCGGGATGCAACGGAGCGATCCCCCACACCGGACGCGCCTTCTCACTCAGCGTCGTCAAAGCGCGCTTTAATTGCGAGTGCATGTCCCTCAGACGGCCCCTGATGTACAGAGCCAGGCACACGAACTGGAAGCAGTTCACCATCTCAACAGTGGTGCACGGATACACTATGCACTCGATGAGCGCGATGCTGGCGGAGGGCGCCTTCAGTCTGGTCCACATGACGTGGTTGAAGCCGAACAGCAGCAGGTAGAGGAGGCTGAGGGCGAGCAGGGCGTTGCGCAGTGCCACACGCACGGCGGCGTAGGCGCCGGCGTCGCCCTCGCGCCCCAGGAGACGCTCCACCGCCGCCACCTGCCATTAGTTCATTTATTTCATTTACTTATTTAACGACAAAAAACATTTGGAAACTGTGGCGTGTATTTGGAGAAGTGTATTCTGTGCACGATTTCATGGATTCTGGGATCCGCACCTTATACAAAGTGAATGCAGAAGGAAATAAGCGATTGTGGCAAAAATTGATAAGAAAATATTTGCTCTCGTGTAATGGAAACTATCTGAAAAGAAAATCAGCTATAGATTTTAGTTGTTATCCCTCATCTTTCCCTTCGTGAAGGGAGCGACGTACTGCCGCTAGAGTATGCAGTATGGTTAATTGGAAGAACTATATTTCCCACTGAACTGCAGAAGAAGTGCACGAATAGTGCAGATATATTTACATCCTTGAGGAAAACAAGGGTCTATCTCAGCATTCTCTCAAAGGATCCGGGAAATTGACTGACACAGGACTGGTGTGTTGATGGATATTGACTGACACACGTATGGTGAGTTGATATAAATTCTCATTAGATACGAGCTCTGAAAAAGTGCACAGAGTGAAATTACATTTATGTCCGGAAGTAAAAAAAGGAAGCCACCTGAGCATTCGCTCAAAAACATCAGAGAAATTGTACGAATCTGAACTCGAGTGTGGATGGATGTGTTGTTATGTTCCTGCTTAGATGCGTGCTTTGAAAGAGAGTGAAATTACATTTGTATTCAGACGTACAACAAGGGGCCACCGCATCATTCTCTGCACGAACACAGCCCTACACACTCCAGTCCGGCATGTCTGTGTAGATACAGGGTTTCCGCTAAGATCGGAGCTCCGAATCGTCGCGACGTTGCAGCACCTTGCGGCAGAGGCGGTCGACGGCGCGCAGGGAGCGCGGCGCCGCGCCCAGCGCCAGGCGCAGCCCCGTGGCCAGCAGGCGCGCCGCCAGGATGGGCACGAACACCACGAAGAAGGCGGTGCGCGACGGCGCGGGCGAGTCCTCGGGCCGCCCCAGCAGGAGCACGGCCGCCGCCAGCGCCCCTAGCGTCGCCGCCAGCGCCAGCGGGTGGGCGCGCCGCGCGCGCGACCACGTGATCACGCGCCCGCCGCCTGACGCCCCCCACGTGAACGGCGCCACGCCCAGCGCCTGCCAACGCACGGCGCCATGGAATTGAGTAGGTGCCTTATGGAGTTACGTTTATGTCAGAAGTAAAGAAGGGGGTCACCTCAGAATTGGCTAAAACCAATCAGAGAAATTGTATGCAACTCAACTTGAGTGTGTCCATTTGTTGTTATGTTTCCGCTTAGATACGTGCTTTGAAAACGTGGCGAGGCTCAGGCCACGAGGTCTGCTCTACCGTCTAACCACGCAAATTTCACCAACGAACGGAGAAAGGTGGTATTTCTTGGGCGATGGAACAAGCGATTTGAATTTAGTTCAGAAGCTTCATTTAGGCTGGAGGATCCTTTACATACAGTACATTTTCTAACCTGGGACAGCCGGTTTTACTTCTCGCCCTAAAAATTCACGACTTTGGTCGGGTTAGAACAGTCCAATACGGTAACCGTTACACCACCGCTGCCGCTCAAGTTGAACAATACCCATGACGAATCTCAAGGGTAATCTGGGAGCCTTAGAAGACCCAAATTATTTTTCAACAAAATCTGTCGTTACGTGTGCCATTTTTAATGTATTTTTTTTACTGAAACGTCCAAGAAAATTAAATGTTTTCAACTCCTTACGAGGGAATGAACAGCGCCGCTAGCTGAGCGGGGAGCCTGTCTGTGGATGAACACGGGCTGGCCCTCCCACGCACGCGCGAAAGAGGGCGCGCGCTATCTCCTCTCTCGCACTCCCTGGGCAGGGACTTCAACATCTCTTAGTTTACATTTCTTTTGTATATTTTTTTACTGACTTAATATGTGTGTAACAAATAATATTGTAACGTTTCTCCGTGGTGAATTAAAACCAACAGAATATGTAAACAAAAACGTTTATTCGGGAACAATCATACACTAAATATACTTGGTCTATTTACAGATATATTACAATTAATAATTTTTCTTTTACACACGATTCCGTTCTCTTGATGATTTATTTACACAGTTCACTCCTTACACACTATTTATTTACACCGTTCTCTTCTTCTTCAGTATCAGCCAGTCCGGTGCACTGTCCACGGTCCACTGCACTTGACCCAAATTCCCTGCACAGACCACAATTCCCCTGCGCAGACCACAATTCCTTGCGCAGACCACACTTCACTGCGCACACCAGGGTCCACTGCACTGCTGTTTACCGCGATGCCCACTTCACAGCTCAGCTTCCACTGCAGACTTCAAACTGCTGACTGCTGTTTCCCCACTGCACCACTGCTTACCGCGATGCACCCTTCACAGCTCAGCTTCCACTGCAGACTTCAGACTGCTGACTGCTGTTCAACCACTGCATCACTCTTCACCGCAATGCACATTTCACAGCACAGCTTCCACTTCGGACACACTGACGGACTGACTGCTTCTCTGCCACTCACTGACGCCTTACTACCCACTGACTTCTACTCACGTCTTCTACTAACTGCTTCTACTAACTTCTTCTACTAACTGACTCGCGGCCGCCGGCAGCGGCGCATTTATACCTGCCCGGCGCTTGTCCCCAGGCACCCGGCACATTCTCGGCGTTTCTCACGGCTCGCGCATAGTCCGGAACCGTCTAGTTCGGGGGGAGGGAAGGGGCGGAAGGCAGATGACGCAATCCGCGCGCAACGAATTCCGGCATGTGATGCAATATTCGTAACAATATAGTTCAGCTTCCGGGTCAATGACCCCCATCTTGATCAGGTTTTTGTCCAGTTTTCCTGATCCATTGAGCAAATACTGCCCCTTGTTTTGCTTCTGAACGAAAATGTAGCTTCACTATGCGCACGTTTTGTTGAACTCTCCTTTTACTTATAATGGTGAGAGTAGAGGTAAGGGCGAGTTGCTATTTTGTTAGCAATGCAGAAAAATCATACTTGCAATTCGTGTACCGATGCAAATAAGATTTTATATCTCGGAAACGAAATGACTATTTTTAAATGTTGCTAATCTTGCGATTTTTAAAAATTATTTTATTTATTTATGATAAACGTTTTCTCATCTTTCAACTATTTGTAGTTAAAATGACGGGAAGGGATTCTGGAACTCAAAAAAATGTGCGCAGATTATCTCCCCTCTACGTCACATACTGTTTTTACTGCTATTTGACTGAACAAATCTAAAGATATAGTGTTATAGAGAATATCCTACCAATTATGGGACCAACTTCTAAACTGGTCACGATACTGAAATGCAATTTTCGCTCCACGATGCGGAATCATGAGGCAAGTAATACGTCATAGACAAAGAAATAGTAGAGATACAGTAATATGCCGTGTTTGAAATGAAGATACTATTGAAATCTGCATCAAATCAGATATGACCATGAATCAACTTTCAGGATCAGAATTACTTAAAAGATACAAAATTGTTTCTTTTAAAATTGAAGATACAGTAGTGACTCAGATGGAATATCGGTTTCAAGATTTTGAAAATTTTAATTTCATTGAATTTCTTGACGGAATCAGAATTCCATCTACCAAGCGTCCTTTCCTTCAGGGAAGTTTTCTTTCTTAATAAAACAAAATCCATTCTTTGACAGTGAGCAGCTTCGAAATGAAATAACCAATGTATATATTGATAATGGAAAATACATGTGTACAAATTTGTTGCTGCAGTATTTGTTGAACAAATTGGACTAGAAAAACATTATCAAGAGACGGTTTGGTTGACACAACTCAGTCTAACTGTCCCTTTATCTACTGTATTATGTGAAAAGAATATGATTACATTAAAGAGAGTGAAGGAATTCCTGAGAAATTCCATGGGAAACATCAGAATGAGTAATTCAGTACACTGGCTTACGAGCAGAATGTCTTTTAAATTAACTGTGAAGAAACGACAGCTTTAAAGAACAAATGACCGATGTATTTGCTGAACGAAAACACCGTTGAATAGAACTAAATTACGAAAAAGTGAAAGATAATATTTTCAGAAAACCCAACTGCAGCTTCGCCACTGAACAATACAGACTTCAAACACACAGGATTTGACTGGTTATTTTTAATTTCAGGGCGCGACAGCTGTCATTGTCAGTATTTCTCTGTGCCTACTGTACGCTGTACATTATGGCTGGGAGGAGTCAGTGTTCTTCCTCCTTCTCTGGATGCTGAGATCCAGCTTGAGATAAGATCGGCTTGCGCTGTTTCCTTCCTCCAGGTATCTCCCCTTGCAGGACATCGCACCAGCCGTGACAAGCTCTAAGCTGCTGCTTGATCTCCCGGTACGTGTCCTTTTTACGTTGTTTGTAGTTTTACGTAGTTAGTAATGTAGTTTAGTGTAGCTGTATGTTTGTTTGAAGTTTTTAGTTTGTTAATTTTGAGTACATAATTTCCAGTTGTTGCTCATTGTTTAATTTGTTTCATTGTAAAATACACAATACATACATTTTTATAGGTTATAATGAATGTTAACAAAAAATGTGGCCGCCGATGTATTTATTATTTTCAGTCTACTAATACCTCGTGTTTCCCTCGTTGAAATGTATTGTTACTGTTTATTCACACCATATAATCTGCTTCAATTAAAAAAAAAATTTTTTTGAAGGAAATCTTCTTTCTAAAATCTTTAATAGTGATAGAAATTCTAGAGGAGGTAGAGTATTCTGTATCTATTCCCACGTGCAGGGATCGTGATTTCTCGCTTTCAATATGTCGGTTGGCGTAAACTCGCCGTCTCCCGAGGATGAACGGCATCAAGTTTCCTTTGGCCAACAAAATCTAATCATTATTTATTAACAAGAAATTATAACTTTGTTTAGAAACACTCATAGAAGAATTTCACATATAGGCTATTTCTGATAAAATGTTCCTTAAAGTTTTTAAAATTAACATGAAGATAGGCCACACCAGCTCCCCTTAAACAAACGCTTTGTCAGTGCAACTCGCAAGCGATGCTGAGTGGCGCTGACAAAGCATTTTTTTAAATGGAAGTATTCAGCCGAGCGGCATAGTTGCACTGCTGTGGAAGCCAGCAAAAGGAAACACGCGTCCCCTCAACACAGTTTTGAAGAGAAGCCTTCACACTTCACTGGGACGCGGTCCTGAATCTGTCTGCCGTGTGACGACGGAACCCACAGCGGTGTGACTCGCAAATCCTTTCCGGCCCCGCGCATTAATAACATGGTCCATGTCCTGAGCTACGCTCTACGCTCTTCGTACCGGATCCGCCGTTTGGTTTTAGGGTTCCTTCACCAGCCACCAGCAGCCCAGTCGCGCTTTTGCGACACAATGAAGGCGCTGGCGCTGGTCGGTGGCTCTGTGTGAAGCGGCACTGTGCTTCCGAGTGGTGCTATTGTAGGCAAAGCATTGGTTTATACGGAAGAATTGGCACGAGCGGTGTAATGACGATTAATGGCGCACTGCCGCTAGCAGCAAAGGAAACATTATCTGCTCAACGCCAGGAAAACACAGTTTTAAAGAACAGCCTTCACACTAGGGCACTCAAACGCGGTCTTGAATTCGACGATCGGAACCCATAGCGGCGTGACTCGCGAATCCTTCCATTCTCGCGATCCGTGGCGCACGGCCGTGGCTGTTAGGCAAAATTTATCACAACATTGACACTCGATATTTCGAAACGGATTTTGATGCCGATTAAAACATCGACTTAAATATTATAAAACAGATGGTATTTTCTCATTCTGTTTCCAATTTTAATTAGAGTTCATAAATTTTATTGTTTGGTCACGTATTAGTGATATGTTAATAATAATATTTATCGAATGTAAAGAAGGAAATAAAAAGTATGGGACATGCGATTTTGCCATTATTT